TAACTAAATGTTCACAATCCATTTCATCCATTCATTCGACAAGAGTTTGCTGTATTCCTATTGTTAGGGCCTTAAGAGTGGTAAAATGTGTAAGGATTAATCTCTCTTTCTGAAGAACCCAGAACCCAGGGAAGTAGAAAAGATAAGGCAAATGAAAATAAGAAACCCGGAGCCACCTGCAGTGCTGGCATCCTTTATGAGTCTTGGCTACTCCACTTCCGATTCAGTTCTCTGCTAAAGTGCCTGGGAAAGAAGCTGAAGATGGCCCAAGTTCTTGGCCTCCTGTACCCCTGTGGGAGACCTGGAAGAAGCTCTGGGCCCCTGGCTTCAGATCAGCCCAGCTCTTATCATTGTGGCCACTGGGGAGTGAACTAGTAGACGGAAGACTCTCTCTCTCTCTTTCTCTCTCTCTCTCTCTCTCTAACTCTGCTTTTTAAGTAAATCTAAAAAGAAAGGCAGGCAGGCAGACAGGAAATGTGAATCTTGCCCTAGTGTTCCTCTTTATCTCTTATCTCAAGTAGAATTCCTATTCATTGCACCATCCTGTGATCAATCATTCTTTGAGGCAAGAAACCCCTGCCAAGGATAGCAGAGTTTCTTATGCAATGGATCTTTCCTAACCCTGGCTGCTATAAAAAGAACAAGAGATGGGCTGGCACTGTGGCTTACTTGGTTAATCCTCTGCCTATGGTGCCAGCATCCCATATGGGTGCTGGGTTCTAGTCCTGGTTGCTCTTCTTCCAGCCACAGTCTCTGCTGTGGCCTGGGAAGGCAGTGGAGGATGGCCCAAGCACTTGGGCACCTGCACCCACGTGGGAGACCAGGAGAAAACACCTGGCTCCTGGCTTTAGATCAGCATAGCTCCGGCCGTGGTGGCCATTTGGGGGGTGAACCAACAGAAGGAAGACCTTTCTCTCTGTCTCTCTCCCTCACTGTCTATCTGTCAAATAAAAGAGAGAGAGAGAGAGAGAGAGAGAGAGAACTTCTCCAGAGGAAACTAGGGCAGGCTCCCTTGAAGTGATGACATTTAAGACAGGTCTCAAAGAGTGTGAAGAAAAATGTAATATTATTTATGAAAGAACAACAAAAGGTATGAAGGGAATAAAAGGGTACCTGGGAACTGGGTTGGAGGTTAAGGGCACGTTTCTATGCGTTATTTATCAAGAACTCTATATACATGTAATTAAAGTAAATGTTAAGGAATGAAATAAAAGGGGGACAGGACTTGGCCCTGTAAAAATGGGCACTGTAATCCAAGAGGAATGTGTTCTACCTAGATACTACACACCTGATCAGCAAGAGGGATGGAAAATACTTTTTTAAAGATTTACTTATTTATTTATTTGAAAGTCAAAGTTACACAGAGAAAGAAGGAGAAGCAGAAAGAGAGAGAGAGAGAGAGAGAGAGAGAGAGGTCTTCCATCCACTGGTTCATTCCCCAGGTGGCTGCAATGGCCAGAGCTGTGCTGATCCGAAGCCAGGAGCCAGGTCTCCCAAGCTGGTGCAGGTCTCCCACGCTGATGCAGGGGCCCAAGGACTTGGGCCATCCTCTACTGCTTTCCCAGGCCATAGCAGAGAGCTGGATCAGAAGTGGAGCAGCCAGGACTCGAATCATTGCCCATATGGGATGCTAGCACTGCAGGCCGGGGCTTTACCTGCTATACCACAGCACTGGTCCCAGGATGGAAAAATTAATGTGCCTATAGTACCAATTTAGAGGAAAAATAAAACAAAGAGCTATCATAGATTTACCAGGGCCTAAGAGTGGAGATCTACAGAACTCTAAATGTTTTTGAGGGGATAGAGAGGAGAGTCAAGGTCAGATCTGGCTGGCTCCATGGGCAAGTGAGTTGTGTACTAGCTCAGGATCCTGCACTTGGGACTCCTTACTTGGTTCATTTAAAAAAAAATTATTTACTTATTTGAAAGAGTTACACAGAGAGAGGAGAGACCAAGAGAAAGAGAGAGTGAGGTCTTCCATCCACTGGATCACTCCCTAGTTGGCTGCAACAGAGCTGTGCTGACCCGAAGCCAGGAACCAGGAGCTAATTCTGGTCTCAAGGACTTGGGCCATCTTCTACTGCTTTCCCAGGCCATAACAGAGAGCTGGATTGGGAGTAGAGCAGCTGGGTCTCAAACCGGCCCCCAAATGGAATGCCGGTGCTTCAGGCCAGGGCGTTAACCCGCTGCACCACAGCACCAGCCCCTCCTTACTTGGTTTAATACTCTGCTACCAACACCTTGAAATTCTTTTTAACAAGGAGCTCTCAGGACCTGCGTTGTGGCACACAGGGTAAAGCTGCAATGCCAGACAGGGATGACAGTTCGTGTCCTGGCTGTTCCACTTCCAATCCAGCTCCCTGCTAATGGCCTGGGGAAAGCAGCAGTAGATGGTCCAAGTGGTTGGGTCCCTGCTAACCATGTGTGAGACCTGGAAAAAGCTGCTGGTATCAGCCGGGCCCAGCCCTGGTCTTTGTGGCCATCTGGGGAGTGAAACAGTGGAGGGAAGATCAGTCTGTCTCTCCTTCTCTCTAAAACTCTGACGTTAAAAAACAAAGAAACAAGAAGCTCTCATTAACATTTTGTAAAGGGACACAATACATAGTCAAGGGAGGAAAGATGATGTACATTTTGTAGGGAAGTTCAAACTTTCCCTCTGAAGGTTCAATATTTGAATCAGCTGAGATAAACTGTGAATGGACAGAATAACAGTAGAAAAGCCTTAACAAATGTATTTGATCATGGTTTTATGTGATGGGAGAGGCTTTAAAGACCCAAGGTAAACTATCCATTTATATGCTTAGGTTCAGTGAAGCTTGGACAGCTGAACAGAAACATGATTGGATAAAAAGGATATGATGATAATAATAGAGTGAGTGGGGAAACAGCAAGGCCTGTCCAGATTCTTCCCCTCTCTTCCTTCAGGGTAGGGGACAGGACCCTTCCTGGAATACAATGGGGGTCTTAAGACAATCAATCAAACATAGTTTCTTTATGGCCAACTTTTTTTTTTATTTGAAAGAATTAGAGGGAGGAGGAGGGAAGGAGATAGATATCTTCCATATGCCGGTTCGTCTTTCCTCCTCCCCGCCCCCGGAAATGGCAGCAACAGGCTGAAGCCAGGAGCTTCATCTGGGTCTCCCACGCAGGTGCAGGGGCTCATTAGAAGGGAGCTGGACCAGAAGTGGAGCAGCCAGGACTCAAACTGGCACCCAGATGGGATGCCAGCATTGCAGAGGCAGCTTAACCCTCTAGGCCACAGTGCTGGCACCCTTTGGGCAACCCTTACACAGCGAAGTGGGGAAAAGTTAAGAGCAATACTTTTGGGTTTTATGGCTGGCTTTGCAGAAAAGAGGCTCTGGTTTCTCTAACCCACGTTGGGGAAGAGGGATTCTAGTTTCCATTGCTTGCCTTGGGGAAGAATCAGCCGCAGTGACACAGTACGGCAGAAGGTTGGACCAAACTTTAATTTTGAGACCTTCATTTTGGGGTGTCTCTTTTCTTTTATTTTTTTAAATATTTATTTGAAAAGCAGAGTTACAGAGAGGCAGAGACAGAGACATTATACAGACTATTTCACTGCCAGCACCCTGCATGGACTTCACAAGTGAGCTGTACTGGTCACTTCTGTCACAGGAGGACTTCCTGAAGCTCATGCCTACTTACTTTAAACCCACCAAAAAGAATGCTCCATGGGGAATCTCCTTGAGTAATGCCTTGGACCACAACAAAGACTTGGATCTATGTTTGTCTTTCAGATCCTTTCTCCCAGTGATGAACCTCTTGTGTGACCTTCAAGCATAGTATGTACCTCCTAAACCTGTAGGTAATAACATTCCTCCCTCCCCCATTTTGTATCTGTCCTAATCTTTGAAAGGGTGTCAGTGAAGGTGTGCTCTCCATCTTAAAGATCCTAAACCAAAATAATATGATGTCAATTTATGCAAAAAATCCTAAAGCACTCACCATAAAAAATTAAAAAAAAAAACCTTTAAAACATTCATAAGCAAAGTTCACAGGAAATATGATCAATACCTTAAACCAATATATTTCTTTGAAATAGCAAGACTACTTGGAAAATGAATTTTTGAAATCATTTTACAAGTAAATGATTCTATTTCCTAATATTTACATGTCTACTAGCCATTTCTAATAATTCTCCACATAATCTACTTCACCCCTAGTTTCTTTAATGGGTTATGATAAACTTTTGCTTATCATCCTATTTTCAAATGAGAAAAATAAGAAAACTTTCAACTGGAAACGAACTAAAATTATGCCATATATAATAAAGGAATGGTAGAGAGGTGAAAGCATTGAGGTACAGGGAAAGCCAGATATGGTAAACCACGTTCGTGATCAGGGTACCTCTCCCTGCCAAGTAAATATAAGTGTTAAGGACTGCTTGACATATTACACTCAGATTCCATACACTCTACAGATAGGGTCACTGCATTTACAAAGTTCCAGACCATCACTTGTGACATAGAGGTTTCTCCGAAATTTTAACAGCCAAAAAATAACATTTTGTATACTGAAATGCTTTCAAAAACCCAAGAAATCTATGTAGAGTGTGGACAAGACCAGAAGACATAGCGCTCATATACATAGCTCAGCCCCTTTTGGTGACGTCATAAGTGCCCGACGAATCTGAGGCTACCGGTCGGAACTTCAGCCATTCTACTTTGGATCCAGTTAACAGTCGGAGAAAGCAGTGGAAAATAGCCTAAGGGCTCGGTACCCAGCACCCAACATAAAAGATTCAGAAGTTCCTGGCTCCAGGATTGAGATCGCCCAAGCTCTGGGCCAGCCATTATAGCATGAATCCGGGATGGAAGACATTTCACATGTCCTTCAAAAACATGATACTAACAAAGCTTAGGATTAAGCCAAAGCAAGGAAGCTAGATAGAACTGTACAAACGCATCCAGAGAAAATCAACCACAAAAAAAAACGCAAAAACCTAAGACTATTATGTTTTCCCTTTGAGCAACAAAAGCCAGGGAAAAGCGCGACCACAGTCCCCCACTTGCACAGGTTATGCAGCCAGGTTTCTCACATTTGGGGAAATCACAGGGCTCCACACATTTGAGCACAATGGATGAGCCGCATCCTGGGAAGACCACCTTTGTGAGGACAACATCTCCACCTGCCAAGTAAGTATGAGCTAAGGGGATTGCTTGGTATCTCACCCTCATATTCAAACCACTTCAAAGTTAAGGTCATTTTTATCATGCAATCTAGCAATGTTTCTCATTTTTCAATAAAAAATTCAAACTGCAGTAATAAAACATCAGTATTTCTATTTGTGGTTATGCCAAAAATCTTAGGAAATATGAACCTAGAGTGCAAAAGACTGGCAGCCACTGCACTTAATCTACATATTCCACACCCCTTTTGCTGAGCTCATTCGGCATCCTTTTCCTAGTATACTGGCTGATGCTACCGAACTAAAACTTAAAGATAAACCTACATAAACTTTTGCCTTCAAAGATTTGTCAATATTGGTATCACTGTGATTTCTGACACAGTTCACCCAGCTGTTGTCCATGTAACCTGAATGAGCAAATCTGAAAAGATGAAATCTGGAAAAACTAAATTTGACAATTCACAGCATGTATTGTTCAATATATGTCAAGTCAGTACAAAACTTCAGGCTTATGTGCAGCCTGCTTCCTTTCAAACAGGAAACAAATGATCATCTTCACTTGAAAGATGAGTTATACAAATGCTAATTCTAATTTTGAAGGGAAAAAAAACAGGGAAGAACTGAGTTCCCCACTTGAGGCCCACAGTGGGACAGATGACCATCATCACTGGAAAACACCTTTGTGACCAATGTCACTCCTCCTTGTTGCTCCCCGTCTTCGTGGAGGAACGACACAGGACCCTGCGTTGTTCTTTTGTCTGCTCGGCCCTTCCCAGGTTGGCTACCGTCCCTTCCACCTCCGTGGAAGGGCGGTTCCCCCTGCCACTTTCCCCACTTCCACGGGGGAGCGGCACACCGCCGGCAGGCTCTCTCGGGGGCTGCACAGGTGTTCCTTCAGGTAGATGTTCCCCTTAGATGTTCCTCGTGCATGTTGTCTCTCTCCTCCTTTATAGTCCTCTTCCACCAATCCCAACTCTGCTACCCACACGCCGAGTACGCTGCTCTCCTCCAATCAGGAGCAGGTCCTGCTGTTTATTGGTTGAACTGGAGGCAGCTGTGTAGAAGCTGTTTCCTCCTCTCCCAGCGCCATATTGTGGGAGAGCAGATGCATAGAATAAATCTTAATTCGAGTAACAGTCTAGTCCGAGTTGCTCCCCACACTCCTGTCTCAGACAATGGCTAAGAATTCACATATTCCAGGCCCACCTAATAACATTATCATAATTCTCAACCCTTTCCATTCATTCCTCACAGTACATTAGAATTTGAGTTTCTAAGTTGAACAGATGTATTCTTTAATTGTCTCTGCAACATTACTAGAACCACCCTATTTCCTAATTCTTACATAAAAGATTTCTTCTTGTAGTCTCTTCTCTTTCAAAATATAGTAGCCACTTTTGTATCTTTAAAACGGGAAGAAATTATTGCTATCTTAAAAATAATTGTAATTAGGCCAGCGCTGTGGCTCACTTGGCTAATCCTCCACCTGTGGCTCCGGCACCCCGGGGTTCTAATCCCGGCTGGGGCGCCGGGTACTAGTCCCGGTTGTTCCTCTTCCAGTCCAGCTCTCTGCTGTGGTCCGGGAGTACACTGGAGGATGGCCCAACTGCTTGGGCCCTGCACCCGTATGGGAGACTGGAAGGAAGCACCTGGCTCCTGGCTTCGGATTGGTGCAGTGCTGGCCATAGTGGCCATTAGGGGAGTGAACCTTTCTCTCTCTCTCTCTCACTGTTTATAACTCTCTCTCTCTCTGTCTCTCTCTCTCACTGTCTAACTCTGCTTGTCAAAAAAAAATCGTAATTAAAGATTAACACGCAATAACCAAGAACACAGAAGTGTCCAAAATAGTAAGAAAAAAAATGGGGCAGGGGGAAGGGGATTTTGTGATGCAGGGGAAAATTACTACTCAAGACTTTTTTTCCAACAGACTATCAGTTCGATTTTTATATATTTTCTTCTGTAAATAAGTATTATATGTGTGTTTTATGCCTATAAAGAAAGAAAATCTATAAATACTTTTATGTGAAACAAGTTATCTCAAAATCTGGTTGCAAACTATTTGAATAAGGGGAAAAAGTCATACATATGACCTATACTGGTAATAATCACCAACAATTCTTAAATCCCAAATGCCAGTTTCAGATTTGTGCATTCTTATTTTGTTTTTAAATATTTTATTTATTTTTTATTTGAGAGGTAGAGTTACAGTCAGAGAGTGGTAGAGACAGAAAGGTCTTCCATCTGCTGGTTCACTCCCCAAATGGACTCAAAGGCCAGAGCTGGGCTGATCCGAAGCCAGAAGCCAGCAGCTTCTTCCGGATCTCCCATGTAGGCACAGTGGCACAAGCACTTGGACCATCTTTTATTGATTTCTCAGGCCATAGCAGAGAGCTGGATCAGAAGAGGAGCAGCTGGGACACAAACTGGTGTCCATATGGGATGCCAGTGCCTCAGGCAGAGGCTTAGACTACTACACCACAGCACCAGCCCCTATAATTAAGACTTAAAGAGAAATTCTGACACACACTATAAGATAGATGAACCTTGAAGATATTATGTTAAGTCAAATAAGCCCAATCACAAAAAGGATGGATTCTATACATTCCACTTATATGAGGTATCAAGTGTAATCAAAGTCATTGAAACATAATGGTGGTTGCGAGGAATCGAGACAGTAAGAAATGAGTTTTCTTAATTAAAAAAAAATTTATCTGGGGTCAATCCTGTGGCTCATCTTGTTGATGCCCCAGCCTGCAGTGCTATCATCCCATATGGGTGCTGGTTTCAAGTCCCGACTGCCCCATTTCTGATCCAGCTCCTTGATGATACACCTGGGAAGGCAGTGAAAGATGGCCCAAGTGCTTGTGCCCCTGCGTCCACGTGGGAGACCCAGAAGGGGCTCCTGATTCCTAGCTCAGATCAGCTCAGCTCAGCTTCGGCTGTTGTGGCCATTTGGGGAGTGAGCTAGTGGATGGAAGACCTCTCTCTCTGTCTCTACCACTCTCTGTAACTCTGTCTTTAAAATAAATGAAAAATAAATGTTTAAAAAATTATTTTACTTTTTTACTTGAGAAGCAGAGACACATAAAGCCAGAGGGAGTGTGTGTGCTCTCACTGCTGGTTCACTTCCCAAATGTCTGCAATAGCTGGGAGCTGGGAAGTAGTTCAGATCGCCCACATGGATGGCAAGGACCATGCCACTTGAGCCATAACCTGCTGCCTCCTGGGGTGTACATTATCAAGAAACTGGAATTGGGAGCAGAGTCAGGACTAGAATTCATTTAACTTCAGTTGGAACACCAGTGTCCTAATGAACATCTTAACTGCTAGACCAAACACCTGCAGTGGAGGTTGTTTTTTCTTTTAAAGATTTATTTATTTGAAAGACAGAGAGAGAGAGAGAGAGATAGAGAGAGAGAGAGATCTTCCATTTGCTGGTTCCCACCCCAAATGGCTGAAACAGCCAGGTCTGGGCCAGGCCAAAGCCATGAAACAGGAAATCCATCCAGGTCTTACACATAGGTGGCAGGGACCCAAGTCCTTGGGTCATCATCTGCTGCTTTCCCTGGTGCATCCAGCAGGAAGCTGGATGGGGAACAGAGCAGTCAGTGTTAGGGTCGAGAAGCATCCGCAGCCCAAGGAACGACTCCAAGAGACACTCTCATGCAATCAGCAAGGGGTTTGTTGATCCAGCATGCTGGGGCTCTCTGAACACGCAGGAACAGAGCAGCCCCGAGAAGTCAAGGGTCAGGGTTTTTATAGGGTTTTCAGAGACATTCCACACATTATGGTTCCATTTAGGAGATGGGATGGTTTGTGGATGGGAGGGTGGTTATGGGGGGAAGAACCACTATAATCCAGAAGTTATACTTCTGAAATTTATATTCAATAAAAATGTTCTATTAAAAATAAAGAGTTATTCCCAAGTTCCTAGCAGCCAAATCTACAATAGAAAAGATGTCCATAAACTGAAGTGTGGATAAAGCAAATTTTATATATACATAAAATAATATGAATCAGCCACAAAATTGAAATCCTGAGATTTGTGATAAAATGGATGCAAATGGACATTAATATGCTAACTGAAAAGACAGAGTCAGAGGGCAGGCACTGTGGTGCAGTATAGGTCAATTTACCACCTGTGGTGCAAGCAACCCATATGGGTGCTGATTCTAGCCCTGGCTGCTCCTCTTCCGATCCAGCTCTCTGCTATGGCCTGGGAAAGCAGTAGAAAAATGGTTCAAGTCCTTGAGTCCCTACACCCACGTGGGGGACCCGGAGGAAGCTCCTGACTCCTAGCTTTGCATTGGCGCAGCTACGGCCATTGCAGCCAATTGGGTGGTGAACCAGCAGATGGAAGACCTCTCTCTCTGTCTCTACCTTTCTCTGTAACTCTGTCTTTCAAATAAATAAAATAAATCTTTTTTTTTTTTGACAGGCACAGTGGACAGTGAGAGAGAGAGACAGAGAGAAAAGTCTTCCTTTGCCATTGGTTCACCCCACAGTGGCCGCTGTGGCTGGTGCGCTGTGGCCGGCGCACTGCGCTGATCCAAAGCCAGGAGCCAGGTGCTTCTCCTGATCTCCCATGTGGGTACAGGGCCCAAGGACTTAGGCCATCCTCCACTGCACTCCCGGACCACAGCAGAGAGCTGGACAGGAAGAGGAGCAACTGGGACAGAATCTGGTGCCCCGACTGGGACTAGAACCCAGCGTGCTGGCGCTGCAGGTGGAGGATTAGCCTATTGAGCTGCAGCGCCAGCCAAAATAAATCTTAAAAAAAAAAAAAAGACAATAAAAACATTTCTGAGCAGCTAAATTATCCAGCTTATGACTATCTGAAAACTTTTAATGTTTACATTTTACGCCACAGTACCTTAATGCTTACTTAACAGACAACGTTTTAAATGACTCACCAGTTAAATAATTCAACCCTTCCCTCTCTAAAGAAATTTGGAGAAAACTGACAATACAGGAAGGTGCACATTCCATATTTATCCCCTAGTTTTGCTTAGTTCCAGGTGCCTAGCTTCATAAACCTGGATGTCAGTTTGAAAGCTGAGTAAACTGCATCAAAGAAACTTTAAGAATTATCTTGGACATGGTAGTCGGTACAGGCAACTCAAGGACCAGAGAATGTTATTAGCACCTAACTGTATAGCTGATGGCAGAATCCACAAGTTTCTTAAGTCTCCACTGCTGATGAAATAAAATTCTAAATATGACCAATTCCACTGAGCATGACCAAGCTAACAGAAGAGCTATCGCTGAATGTGGTAACACCATCTTTTCTTCACCCAGGAACCAGGTTGCATAAGCATGAATTTCCTGGAGGACAACACTTAAGTAATGCCCAGCGAGTGCCCAGGCATAGATCATATTAGAAGTACAGCAATGTTCTGAGCGCCAAGCCACGTTTGGAGCAGTCTGGCAGCCTTTCTGGGGTCTCCTACACTGGGTACAAACTGAGCAGGCTCTCCTGCCGTCAGTCCCCCTGCCTCTGCCCCGCCGCGCCCCTTAGGAGGGGCTCAACGTCTGGAGGCAGCTCGGGGTAATAAAAAACGATACTAGGTTTGAATTTTGGCTTTGAGAAAAACTGTTCTGGGCCTTGAGGCCCGAGCTCTGTTCCGGCGGAATGCCTATGAGCATTTACATGTATGGGATTTGTTCATGTGCTCCGCATAAGCTGGTTCCTTCTTTAGCTCCTGAGAACTTGAAGGGCTCTGATTTATAATACTTCAGGAGGTCCTTTAAGCCGACAGCAAGTCAGAGTGAGGAATCCAGGCAACAAGTAGGGTACAGGTTACTCCACTAAAAAAGTCAGCCATGCTTCCTGGACAAGGAGAGACCCTTACAAGGCATCTTTCAAATTTCCTTCCATTTTCCCTGGAGTTCTGTGTTTTCCAAGTGGCCATTTCCACAGCTTGAACACCGCTTCCCAACTCTCACGGAACAGGAGCGTTCCAGCACAGGCCTGCCCCTCCCTCTCAGAACCCCAGAAACCCCGGGCTTTACGTGCTTACTTTTCCAGCTATCTTCTTGAACTAGGCAGGCCGTGAAGCTCTAACGGTCTCAGAAACCCCCAAACGCCAGGCCCGACTCGTGGGAAGGTGTCGGCGGGTGGGTGACGCGCCCGGACGCCGAGCGTTTTCCCCAGCGGCGGTGGGGGGCTGGCCCACAATCCTTTGCGAGCGCGGGAAGTCTTGGGGCAGGCTGGGGGTGTGGACGGCTGGTGAGGAGAGCCAAGAGACTTGCACCCTAACGGCACACTGGTTAGTCTTTCTATGGCTGTTTCCTGGACTTTCCATTCCAAACGTCCAGTTACCGGTCAGTGTACCCTCATTTTCCCACTGCTCCCATTCGGGGAGATCATTTCTATAAAATGACCCAGCCTTCCATGAGACAGGCCAGGGCGAAGGCGAGGAAATGTGTGCAGAGCCCACTGGGCCTGGCTGTCCACCCTACGGTCTAAACCCATTTATACGTCATAATATACGTCTGATTAGGAAACCACGCACGAGATTTGGAGGAATCGCAGTGGAAATGCCGCGGATGCGAACGTTAGCACATCTTCACACGGCCGCAAAGGCCAGACCCGCATGCGGCCAGGCCGCAGACGCGCCCCCTCCGCGCGTTGCGTGTGACGTCACACGCACGCCCGTCTCTGGGCGCGAGTTTCTGCGGTCCGAAGTATAGCCCCACCCTGCGCGCGCGGAGGGGCCGTGTTTTGAAATGCAGCGGGGTTTAGCGAGTTTTCCGCTGTCGCCGGCGGTGCGCGTGAAGCTGGTGACTGCGGGCTTCCAGACGGCTGAGGAGCTCCTGGAAGTGAAGCCTTCGGAGCTCAGCAAAGGTAACTGCTGAGGTGGCGACGCGCTGGCCGCTGTCGGAGCCGCCCGCGGCGGGGTGCTCCCGCCTGCAAGGCTGATGCAGCCCAGGCTCCGCCGCCACGTCTCTCCGCCTCTCATGGCCACGTTTAGGCCGAGAAACACTTTCTTGACTCCGCTTAACAGTTGTCTGAATGGTCACACGAATTGTGGCTGCTTTCTTTGTCTTAGCGCCTCCTGGATGAGTTGAGGATTCTCTCATGCGCAAAAGAATGCTTTTACTAGGATTTTGTGCAATATGCAGATGAGAGAGCCGGTCTCTTGTTTTGAAGAGGTTAAATGACTTTTCATAACTAGGTTAGGAACTAGTGGAGACAGAACGGGAAACTAGAAAGACTACCTAATCCTTTTTTTTTTTTTTTTTTTTTGACAGGCAGAGTGGACAGTGAGAGAGAGAGAAAGGTCTCCTTCGCCGTTGGTTCACCCTCCAATGGCCGCCACGGCCGGCGCACCACGCTGATCCAAAAGCAGGAGCCAGGTGCTTCTCCTGGTCTGCCATGGGGTGCAGGACCCAAGCACTTGGGCCATCCTCCACTGCACTTCCGGACCACAGCAGAGAGCTGGCCTGGAAGAGGAGCAACCGGGACAGAATCCGGCGCCCGGACCAGGACTAGAATCTGGTGTGCTGGCGCCGCTAGGCGGAGGATTAGCCTGTTGAGCTGCCTGCCGGCCCAAGACTAGCTAATCTTATTCTCCGCTCCAAAATTCCAAGGATGAGAATTCTTTGAGACATGTAGGATTCGTGTAGGTAGAGCCACTGAGTGAGAAAAGAAGTAGAAAGAAGACACCCCTTGTGTAATTCACTGAAAAGACTAAAACCTTACATTCTGAGCGCCGTGGTTGCATGTATTGGAGGGAACCGCTGCATCCTGTAATGCTCTCGCTGTGCATATTGCAATATGGGGTGCCCAGACCTGCGCATCTCCATGGAAGAAGATGAAACAGACTTCAAGCTAATGCCCTTAACAGTGGGAGATAAGGTTTCAGTTTACCACTGAACAATAACTTGTAGACCCAACCTTAACTATTTAAGTAGTCATCCCACAGACTGTGTCCCCTAAAGTTTGATGGGCTCTTTTTCTTTCAATAAATAGGGTTTCCGAAGAAGAAATGAGAGACCCAGTAATAATTACTAGCAATTATTGATTGTTTTGGATGACATTGGAGGCAGAGTTACAGAGAGAAAGAGACACAGAGAGGTCTTCCATCCGCTGATTTACTCCCCAAATGGCCACAATGGCCGGAGCTGGGCTGATCTGAAGCCTGGAGCCTCTTTTGGGTCTCTCCTGTGGGTGCAGGGGCCTAAGCACCTGGGCCATCCTCTGCTGCCTTCCCAGGCTGTAGCAGAGAGATTGGAAAAGGAGCAGCTGGGACTAGAACCAGTGCCCATATGGGATGCTGGTGCTGCAGGTGGATGCTTTAACCTACTGTGCCACAATGCTGGCCCCTTACCAAGATTTTTACGTGCATTGTTTTCATTTTTATTTTACAAAAGAAAAAAATGTGAGGTACAAAAATTTAACATAGTAAGTGGTGCAGTCAGGATTTACAATGTGAACAATCTGACTTAAACGTGCTTTTTCTTGGGCATCAACTTTATTTGAAAAAGAGAGGAGGCTGGCATTGTGGCATAGCAGGTTAGGCCACAGCTTGAGAGGCCAGCATTCTATATGGTCACCAGTTCCAGACCTGGCTACTCCACTTAACAATTTAGCCCCCTGCTAATGTGCCTGGGAAAGCAGTGGAAGATGGCCCAAGTGTTTGGACCCCTGCACCCACATGGGAGACCAAATGAAGCTCCTGGCTTTGGTCTGTCACAGCCCCAGCTGTTGTGGCCATTTTGGGAGTGAACCAGCAGACAGATTTCTTTCTAACTCTTTCAAGTAAAAAAAAAAAATTTTTTGACAGGCAGAGTCAGACAGTGAGAGAGAGAGAGAGAGAGAAAGGTCTTCCTTCCGTTGGTTCACCCCCCCAAATGGCTACTACGGCCAACGAGCTGAGTCGAACTGAAGCCAGGAGCCAGGTGTTTCCTCTTGGTCTCCCGTGCAGGTGCAGGGCCCAAGCACTTGGGCCATCCTCTACTGCCTTCCCGGGCCACAGCAGAGAGCTGGACTGGAAGAAGAGCAACCGGGACTAGAACCTGGGGTACCAGCACCACAGGCAGAGGATTAGCCAAGTGAGCTGCAGCGCTGGCGAAAAATAATTTTTTTTTTTTTTGACAGGCAGAGTGGACAGAGAGAGAGACAGAGAGAGAGGTCTTCCTTTTTGCCGTTGGTTCACCCTCCAATGGCCGCCGCGGCCGGCGCGCTGCGGCCGGCGCACCGCGCTGATCCGATGGCAGGAGCCAGGAGCCAGGTGCTTTTCCTGGTCTCCCATGGGGTGCAGGGCCCAAGCACCTGGGCCATCCTCCACTGCACTCCCTGGCCACAGCAGAGGGCTGGCCTGGAAGAGGGGCAACCGGGACAGAATCCGGCGCCCCGACCGGGACTAGAACCCGGTGTGCCGGCGCCGCTAGGCGGAGGATTAGCCTAGTGAGCCGCGGCGCCGGCCGAAAAATAATTTTTTTTAAAAGTAAGTTATTCCAACTATTGGTTCACTCCTCAAACACTTTCGTCAGTCAGGACTGGGCCAGGCTGAAGTCAGTAACCTGGATTCAGTCTGAATCTCTTATGTGGGTGGCAGGGGCCCAAGTACGTGAGCCATCACTGGCCACCTCCCAAGATGTGCATAAGCAGGAAGCAGAATTGGAAGCTGAGCTGCACTCAAACTCAGGGACTCCAATTTGGGATGCAGGTGTCTCAGGTGGTGGCTTAACCTGCTATGTTACCACTCTGGCCCCACTGTTACCTTTTCTTACTACCAAAATTATAGTTCATATACTTAAGTCAGTCACTGATTTATCAAACTGACATGATGCCAGACTCACCATTGTTTGTTTCTGTAGCATCTTTTCTGTTTTCAGGCCACATTGTCAAATAGAAATGAAACCGTGTAGTTGAGGAGAATAAATATAATGTTAAAAATATTTGTGCATTGGGGCCGGCGTCGTGGCACAGTAGGTTAATCCTTTGCCTGCGGCGCTGGTATCCCATATGGGCACCAGTTCTGGTCCCAGCTGCTCCACTTCCAATCCAGCTCTCTGCTATGGCCTGGGAATGCAGTAGAAGATGGGCCAGGTCCTTGGGCCCCTGCATCAATGTGGGAGACCTGGAAGGAGCGCCTGGCTCCTGGCTTTGGATTGGTGCAGCTCCAGCCGTTGCAGCTATTCAGGGAGTGAACCTCAGAAGGAAGGCCTTTCTGTCTCTCCCTCTCACTGTCTGTAACTCTACCTCTCAAATAAAAATGAATAAAATCTTTAAAAAAAATTTGTGCATTGAATAATTGTTCTCATTAAAAGTTTGGAGTGATTTAGGAGTTTATTTAAAAAATTTTTTTTTGAGTTACAGAGAGAAAGGGAGAGACAGAGATCTTCTATCTGCTGGTTCACTCTCCAAATGGCTGCAATGGCCAGGGCTGGGCCTTGCCAAAGCCAGGAGCCTGGAATTCCATCCTGGTCTTCAAGTGGGTGGTAAGGACCTGAACACTTTGGCTGTCTTCCGCTGCTTTCCCAGGTTCATTAGCAGGGAGCTGGAGCTAGATCAGAAGTGGAGCAGCCTGGATTAACCCAGTGCACTTATAGGATGTTGGCATCGTAGGTGGAGGCTTAACCTGCTGTGCCACGATGTCAGCCCCCGCCATGAAATGAAATTTTTATATCAATGTTTCCATGAAAAGTTCTTTTGAATAATACAAGGCAGGGAGGCACAGTGTTGTGACACAGTGGGTTGAGCCACTGCTTGCATTGTTAGAACACAAGTTTAAGTCCTTAATGCTCTGCTGCTCCAACTCCCTGCCCTTTTTTTTTTTAAGATTTATTTATTTATTTGAAAGGCAGAGTTACAGAGAGGCAGAGGGAGAAAGGAGAGAGAAAGAGAAGTCTTCCATCCACTGGATCACTCCCCAGTAGGCCACAAAGGCCAGAGCTGAGCTTCTTCCACATCTCCTACGTGGTTGCAGGGGCCCAAGCAGTTGAGCCATCTTTCATTGCTTTCCCAGGCCATAGCAGAGAGCTGGATTGGAAGTGGAGCATTTGGGGCTTGAACCAGCGCCCATGCAGATGCCAGCACTGTAGGTGGCAGCTTTACCTGCTAGGCCACAGCATTGGCCCCAAGACGGGACTCTTAGATGGAAGTGACTGAAATACGCTTTGTACCTTCAAAATAGAAGGAACTGCTCTGACTGCAGGAGATGTGTCCCAGTTTTGTCCAGATTACCTGAACACTGTCTGTTTTTCTGAAGGGAATTTAAATATCTTCTACACTGCTAGCCACACTGCTTTTTTTTTTGAAAGGCAGAGTTACAGAAAGAGAGAGAAAGAGAGCACGTACCATCTGCTGGTTCACTCCCCAAATGGCTTTCCTAAGCCATTATCAGGGAGCTAGATCAGAAGTGGAGCAGCTGGGTCTTGAACTGGCACCCATGTGGGATGCTGGCATTGCAGGCAGTTTTGCCTGCCACAATGCTGACATGTATTTTTTTTTAAAGATTTATTTATTTATTTGAAAGTCAGAGTTACACGGAGAGAGAAGGAGGGGCAGAGAGGGAGAGAGAGACAGAGAGGTCCTTTATCCACTGGTGCTGGCCACAATGGCCGGAGCTGCACTGATCTGAAGCCAGGAGCCAGGACCTTCTTCCAGGTCTCCTACGAGGGCACAGGGGACCAAGGACCTGGCCATCTTCTACTGCTTTCCCAGGCTATAGCAGAGAGCTGGACCAGAAGTGTAGTAGCCGGGACTTGAACAGGCATCTGTCTGTAGGGGATGCCGGCACTGCAGGTGGCAACTTCATCTGCCACGCCACAGCACTGGCCCTGACATGTACTTCTTAAAGTTATACTTTGTTTTAGGAAGTTAAAGAAGTCATTCATCCTTGTTTGAAAAAGCATATGTATATTTTATGAGAGCAAGATAGTGGTGGCTTCATAAGAGACAGTGAAAGTACAATTTACTTCTATGTCCTTTATTTTCATTTTATTTGAAAGGCAGAGAGACAGAGGGCTTCCATCTTCTGGTTCACTCCCCAAATACCCTCAATAGCGGGGCCTGGGTCAGGCTGAAACAAGGACTAGGAACTCAGTCTAGGTCTTCCATGAGGGTGGCAAGGACCCAAGTACTTAAGCCATTACCACCACCTCCAAGGGTGCACATTAATCAGAAGCTGGAATAGGGAGTAGAGCCCAGACTTGAAACCAGGCACTCTGAACTGGAACGCAGGTCTCTTAACCGCCGTGCCAAATACCTACCTGTTTCTACTTCTGAGATGCTTTTGTGGATACTCAGCTATAACTTCTTTTAATTTTGTTTCTGAGGTAATAAATATTTATGTGATGACTAATAAAACAGATGCCTTTATTAAAATGAAGAAGTAAAAAAGTTAATAGTAGATAGTTAAGATGTTACTTTTTTTCAAGATTTATTTCTTTGAAAGGTGGAATTAGAGAAAGAAAGAGAGAGAGAGAAAAAAACTCTTCCATCCACTGGTTCACTCCCTGAATGATTACCATGACTGAGGCTGGGCCAGGCTAAAGCCAAGAGCCAGGAGCTTCTTCTAGGTCTCCCACAAGGATGCAGGGGCCCAAGCACCTGGGCCATCTCTCACTGCTTTCCCAGCTGCATTAGCTGGAAGCTGGATCAGAAGTGCAGCAACTGGGACTTGAACTGGCATCCATGTGGAATGCCATCACAGGCATTAACCAGCTACTTCTCAACACTGGTCCAAGATGTTAGATTTTTACGGTTTCTTTGTACTCTACTCATAGCATCAGTGTTATCTAAAAATCAAGATTAGTGAAACCCATTATGTGTTAGACTGTTTTAAATTTCTAAAGTCAGTATTTTTTTCTTATTTTCATTTCAGAAGTTGGGATATCTAAAGAGGAAGCCTTAGAAACTCTGCAAATTATAAGAAGAGAATGTCCTACAAATAAACCAAGATATGCTGGTACATCTGAGTCAGGCAAGAAGTGTACAGCATTGGTACTTCTTCAACAGGAGCATACCCAGAGCTTCATAATTACCTTCTGTTCAGCAGTAGGTAATATTCTTGGGGGTGGAATACCCTTAATGAAAACAACAGAAATTTGTGGTGCACCAGGTGTTGGAAAAACACAATTATGGTAAAATAAAATGTTCCCCTCTGAAGGGTGGGCTTAATAAACATTGATTAAGACAGTTGTTCTGTGGGTTTACTATTGGGAGACTCCTGTGTGAGTGTTTCAAGCGAAAACCAGTTTACCATTTGTGTTACTTCAGTGCCCCATCTTGATAAATTGATGTAATTATCTTACAGGAAATATTTCCTTGAAACTTTATAGTATGGTCATTAGGATAAATGTGCAGTCTTTTACTTTATTCACTTCTTAAAATATAGTTGAAAGTCAATTGTTTGAAAGTAAATTAATGTATAATAAGAAAAGAACAGAAGCTGTAAAAACCATTAAAAAGTCCATAATTGTGCTTTTATAGGCATATCTCCACCTTAATCCAAGCATATTCATATATGAGTATATCTGGGGCCATGGAGAAACAGCTGTCTGTTACTCTGGAGAGTATAAAAATATTTTCATTCATTTATTTTAGCAATACTAAATAATAATTATCTGGAGTTTGGTTATCATGATAAAGATTTGGTGATTTGATGTAATTGTCTTAACAGCATGCAGCTGGCAGTGGATGTGCAGCTATCAGAATGTTTTGGAGGAGTAGCAGGTGAAGCAGTTTTATTGATACAGAGGGAAGTTTTATGGTTGATAGAGTGGTAGAGCTTGCTACTTCACCTAATAGCAGGAGCACACATGGAAGAGGGTAAGTTAGCAAAATGGCCCCCTTTTTTTCTGTACAATAAAAGTAATTTACATTTTTGCCCATCACAGACCTCAGCAAGAGGCCATTTGGAACATGAAGCTTAATGTCTTGACTGTACTATTGGTAAACTCTCAGATGTCTGTTACAAAATGAGAAGGGCCGCAGCCTGATCTGACCTTTTTTTTTTTCTGCTTTTATGACCCTTGCTTTTTACTGCAGGGGCTTTGTTTCTCAATGTCTAACTTCAAATTAATATACTCCATCCTGCCAGGTGTAAGCTAAAGTTGGACACCTTAATATAAGCACATGTTAAAATGCATTCAGTATATATTGATTTCCACATTGGTTTCTCCAAAACCAAATGTAGCTATGGCTATGAAAAGCACTTCTGGAAATGTTTGAAATGCTACACTGACTGACCTTTTGGAGCTTTGAGTAGTATATAATTCCATTAATTGTATCATTAAAGTGTTTGAGAAGCTTTTTTTTGTGCTTACAATGTGGAAATACTTTATTTTTAAAAATTTATTTATTTGAAAGGCAGAGTTAAAAGATGAAAAAATAAGGATTAAAAAAAAATAAACAAATGAAAGGCAGACTTAGAGGCAAAGACAGAGATCTTCCATCTGTTGATTCATTTCCAAAAAGGCTGCAATGGCCAGGGCTGGACAAGGCTGAAGCCAGAAGTCTAGAACTCTTTTTGAGTTTCTTTTGTGAGTGGCAGGGGCCTAAGTACTTGGACCATCCTCTGCTGCTTTCCCAGGCACATTAGCAGGGAGCCGGATTGGAAGTAGAGCAACCAGGACTCAAACCGACACTCATATGGGGTGCCAGCATTGCAGGCAGCAGCTTAACCCAACTGTGCCACAATGACAGCCCCAAGTATTTGATTTTAAAGCAAATTTTGAAAAGGTAATTTGTGTTCCGGCTTTTTGCTTTCAATTATAAAAGTAAATGGTTTCTTGGCCGGCACCGCGGCTCAATAGGCTAATCCTCCGCCTAGCGGCGCCAGCACACCAGGTTCTAGTCCTGGTTGGGGCGCCGGATTCTGTCCCGGTTGCCCCTTTTCCAGGCCAGCTCTCTGCTATGGCCCGGGAGTGCAGTGGAGGATGGCCCAAGTCCTTGGGCCCTGCATCCGCATGGGAGACCAGGAGAAGCACCTGGCTCCTGCCTTCAGATCAGTGTGGTGCGCCGGCCTCAGCACGCTGGCCGCGGCGGCCATTGGAGGGTGAACCAACGGCAAAGGAAGACCTTTCTCTCTGTCTCTCTCTCTCACTGTCCACTCTGCCTGTCAAAAAAAAAAAAAAAAAAAAAGTAAATGGTCTCTGATTTGACTTTTTAAAATTTATTTATATATAGTTTTTCTTGAATCCTGACATGTATACTGCTGGATTCTACCTTGTGGTTTTCTCTATAGTTTCTCATATGTACAAATTTTTAAAAATTTGTTTACTAAGAGACAGCTCTCATCTTCTCTAGCACTCCCCGGATGCCTGTAATGGCCACAGGCAGGCCAGGCTAAAGCTGGGAGCTGGGAACAGGGTCCAGATCTCCCACTTGGGGGCCAGGAATCCAACTACTTGAGCCATCACCTGCTGCCTCCTAGGGTATGAGTTAGCAGGGAAACTGGAATCGGGAGCAGAGCCAAGAAACATGCACTCTGATATGTGATGCAAGCATCTTAACAGGCATCTTAACTACGAGGCCAGGTGCCTGTCCTAGCTGTGACTATTGTCTTTTGCTTTATTTTAGTTTAGTTTTGGCAGTCCTTATTCTTTAGATGTTTAAAAAAATGTTTTTCTTTGGATGTTTGTATTTCCCTTAGATGAATATAATCAGCTTGGCATTTTTATTATTACTTTTTAAAGATTTATTAATTTATTTGAAAAGCAGAATGATGGAGACAGAGATCTTCCATCCACTGGTTCACTCCTCAAATTTCTGCAACAGCCAGAGCTGGGCCAGGAGTGGAAGTAGTCCGTGGTAGGCGGTGGCTTAACCCACTTGCATCTCCACATTGTCCCTCACATTTTTATTTTCATGTCTCATTTAGTATTAGTATTAATTGTTGTATCTACTAAAATTTAGTATTTAGTATGAATTGTGTATCTACTAAAAGACCTTTGTATGCTGGCAGAATATGCCATACTAAAATATGCCACTTGGCAGCAGGCTTATTTTGAGCTGTGGGCAATTGGGAAAAAGCAGATAAAGGAAAGCTGTCCTCTCTATGTTCCTGAGGCAGGACATAAATGTACAAATGTGTTCTGTTTCCTCTTTTTTTTTTTTTTTTGACAGGCAGAGTGGACAGTGAGAGAGAGAGAGAGAGACAGAGAGAAAGGTCTTCCTTTGCCGTTGGTTCACCCTCCAATGGCCGCCACCGCCGGCGCACCGCGCTGATCCGAAGGCAGGAGCCAGGTGCTTCTCCTGGTCTCCCATGTGGGTGCAGGGCCCAAGCACTTGGGCCATCCTCCACTGCCCTCCCAGGCCATAGCAGAGAGCTGGCCTGGAAGAGGGGCAACCAAGACAGAATCCGGCGCCCCAACCAGGACTAGAACCCAGTGTGCTGGCGCCGCAAGGTGGAGGATTAGCCTAGTGAGCCATGGCGCTGGCCTTCTGTCTCCTCTTGGTATCAGGAAAGACAAAAGTTAATCTCCTGACACAACTTTCAACCCTTAGCCTGGAGTCAGCACCAGAGAAATTGAAGAATCTACCTAACTTTACCAGTTGGTCTTTTTGTTTTTTAAAAATGTTTTGTTTGAGTGGCAGACAGAATTCCCATATATTGGCTTACTCCCACAAAGAAGCCAGAAGCTGGAACTCAATCTAGACCTCCCCCATGGTTGGCAGGGACCCAACTACTTGAGCCATCATCTGCCTCCCATGATGCCCATTAGCAGAAAGCTGGAATTGGGAGCAAAGTCGGGACTCAAACCCTAGTACTCCAGTTTGGCTTGTGGTTATCCCAGCAAGCATTTTAACCACTGTGCCAAATGCCTGCTCCATTGGCTGGCCTTGATCTTCCTTTGGTTTCCTATATATTTGCAGTCCCACAAAATGCTGCCCCTAAAGACTCAAGGTATTTTTCTTTTGTCTTGTCACATCTTTTAAAATGTTTATAAGTCCAGATGCTAATTAAACCTTTAAAAAAAGATGTATTTATTTATTTATTTATTTGAAATGTAGAGTTACAGAGAAAGGAGAGAGAGAGAGAGAGAGGGAGAGAGAGAGAGAGATCGATTGATCTTCTATCTGCTAGCTCATTCCCCAAATAGCTGCAATGGCCAGGGCTGTGCCAGGCCAAAGCCAAGAGCCAAGAGCTTCTTCTGGGTCTCCCATATGGATGCATGGGCCCAGGAACTTGGTCCATCTTCCACTGCTTTCCCAGGCACATTTGCAGGGAGCTGGATTGGTAGTGGAGTTGCTGGGACTTGAACTGGCACCCATATGGGTTGCTGGTGCTGCAGGCTGTGGCTTAACATGCTGTGCCACAGCACCAGCCCTACTAACTTAACTTTTGAGTTACTCATCTCTGGACTCCCATGGGTTATATGGGTGATGCTGAAGTTAATAGACTTCTGTTGTTTTTTTTTTTTTCTTTTTCTCTAGATCTTTTCTTAATCCAATTTACAGAGCCCCATTCAGAGAACCTAGTGTTTCTATACGAGGAGTTTCATACTCTGCCTTTTTGCTGATGTCAGTCTGCTGTCTTTTTCAAAAAACTAATTCTGTTTATTATTTAAGAGGAATTACAAGATGTCTTCTAAAATTAAAATGACCCACCCAAAAGTGTTTTTTATTTAAAATAGTTTGCTGTATTTCTGTTTTATATCTGACCTTTCTTCATCTAAAAGAGAAAAATTTAAAATGTTAGACAACTAATTATGAACATTAAAACATTAGAATGCAGATAAACTAATATACACACATGGGAAATTACAAAATTCACAAATTTCATATCCTGCTTAGCATTGATTCTTAACATCTCATGGGTACTGCTGGAATTTTAGCATAAATAATTAGCCTACTAAGGTTTACGGTTGATGTCCCTCTTTTCACTACTTGTGTGTTTATGGATGTTGCTGAGTGTTTGCCTTTACTGTGTCAGCATCAGAATATACTTTTCTCATAATTTCTTAAAGTCATTCACTGTATTAGGGATTTTATAATTTTTTATCATGCAAAAATAGTTTAATACTTTTAAAATCCAAATTTTCCTTTAAAATCATTTATGAAAAAGATTTTCAAGTCAAAATTAACACCTCAATTAGTCAAGCATCAGGAAACTACATTACACCTACTTAATGTACAAAGAGACATTTTTTTCACAGTCATTTTCTTCTTTTTTTTTTTTAAATATTTATTATTTATTTGAAAAGCAGAGTTACAGAGAGGCAGAGAGAGAGAGAGAGAGAGAGAGAGAAGAGTCTTCCATCTGCTGATTCACTCCCCAGATGGCTGCAATCACCA